TCCTGCTTCCTCTGTCACGTCCTGTGTCCTCTGTCACTTCCTGTGTCCTCTGTCACTTCCTTTTCCTCTGACATGTCCTGTGTCCTCTGTCACTTCCTGTGTCCTCTGTCACTTCCTGTGTCTTCTGTCACATCCTGTTTCCTCTGTCACTTCCTGTGTCCTCTGTCACTTCCTGCTTCCTCTGTCACTTCCTGCTTCCTCTGTCACGTCCTGTGTCCTCTGTCACGTCCTGTGTCCTCTGTCACGTCCTGTGTATTCTGTCACGTCCTGTGTATTCTGTCACGTCCTGTGTTCTCTGTCACGTCCTGTGTATTCTGTCACGTCCTGTGTCCTCTGTCATTACCTGTTTCTTCTGTCACGTCCTGTTTCCTCTGTCACGTCCTGTGTCCTCTGTCACGTCCTGTGTCCTCTGTCATTACCTGTTTCTTCTGTCACGTCCTGTTTCCTCTGTCACGTCCTGTGTCCTCTGTCACTTCCTGTTTACTCTGTCATGTCCTGTGTTCTCTGTCATTTTCCAACTCCTTCCTGTTTTTGTCTCGTCCTCCCTCTCAGGTCAGACTTTATTGTGAAGCAGGGACCAGGTCCTGGTCTAACTCGATCTGGATTTGTGGAGAAACTTTCACCTCCACAGTTCTGAGTTGGACTCGGGTCTGGTTTTTAACTGGACCAGTCCAGAGCAGTGAGTTCAGGCTGGTTCTGGAAGGTGGACCTCAGTCCTGTAGTCCCTGTTGATGAAAGCCATCAGTACACATGATGCTGCCACCACCGTGCTTCACTGTAAAGACATGTTCTCAGCTTGTTGTCTACTGTTTGGTGTCTCCTGACCACTGCATCATCCTGGACATTCCTCTGAGGAATGTCCTCCTGTCCCTGTCCGTGGGTTTAGTGTTTGACCGTCTCAGCAGGCTGTCTCTGGTGGTTTCATGTAGAAACAGATTATTTTAACTTTGAGACTTTAGATTGTTGACGTAGCCTGTCTCTGTCCTGTCCACGTTCTTGTCCACATCCCTGTCCTATGCTGTGTCCTCAGTAACGTCACAGTGTACGTCCTGGTCTTCAGATGTCTCTACTGTTCTGTCCTTTGGCGTCTTGTGTCTTTGAAATGTGAGATGTTCTGGACGTCCCCTCCCTTCATTCAGCCTCCACTGATCTGCTGCTGGAGCTGAACCCAGACGAGCTGAAAGGGGAGGAGCTTAAAGGGGAATTCCACTAAAACTATAGAGAGAGCAGTTCAAACTGCAGGAGTGTCTCTGTCTCTGTCCCTGTCCCTGTCTCTGTCCCTGTCCCTGTCTTTGTCCCTGTCCCTGTCTCTGTCCCTGTCTCTGTCTATCTCTGTCTCTGTCCCTGTTTCTGTCTCTGTCTCTGTCCCTGTTTCTGTTTCTGTCTCTGTCCCTGTTTCTGTCTCTGTCTCTGTCTCTGTCCCTGTCTCTATCTCTGTCTCTGTCTCTGTCCCTGTCTCTGTCTATCTCTGTCTCTGTCCCTGTTTCTGTCTCTGTCCCTGTTTCTGTCTCTGTCTCTGTCCCTGTTTCTGTTTCTGTCTCTGTCCCTGTTTCTGTCTCTGTCTCTGTCCCTGTCTCTGTCTCTGTCTCTGTCCCTGTCCCTGTTTCTGTCTCTGTCCCTGTCCCTGTCCCTGTCTTTGTCCCTGTCTCTATCTCTGTCTCTGTCTCTGTC